TTACATTGCTGGGAAAGGTGTACTTCGATGATTCTGAAGCTCGAAGAGTGAAATCGGAAAATTGACGGAAAAGATTGTTTTATATTTTTTGTCGCACATTGCTTTGTCTAATAGGTGGATACAGAAGCCCATCGATGGGCCCCTGGTGGATGACGTACTAGAAATCGAAAGTCCTATAATTTAAAAATTACCAAATATATGAATTTTTTCTTAATGCGTGTGTCATGTGACTGTTGCTTATTTTGAAGCTCATTCTGGTCCACTGTATCATGTATCTCGTCTGGTAGTTGGCGTGGGTTTCCTCTCTCTCTAAAGACCTCTAAAATATTTCCCCAAACACAATTGCCTCAGATCCTGTACGTTTACAGATCTTTATACCCTTCCTACATGGGCCTGTGGCATAGGTTCTGTTCAGATGTGTATTCACTGTTCTTCTGCACGCAGAGCTCAGAAGGAAAATTCCAGTCAAACGTGTTTTCCCGGTGCAGTGATAACGCAATTCTACAGTTCGAACCACCAGGTATACATAAACAAAACAATTCTGAATGTAAGTTTCATCTGAATTTTTTATATTTAAGATATTTTTATGATAAGTTATTTCTACATATATGAATTCCTCAACGTCTTTGCAAGCCTGACCTTTTATTTTTATTTTTAGCTATTTTTGGCTCAGGAAAACCTGCCACCCTTCCCCGTGATCTAAAAAAGCGCCGAAAAACGTGACCCAGCTCATGGAGCAATTTTCCAAATTCTGATTGGTTGAACCAAATCATGTGACTTTTCCGTCGCGCCAGTGTAGACCTTCATTGATGTATTTTTAAGAGTACAAGGTTCAAACATGCCTTTATGATCACAGAAAATCTGCTGGACAAGTGTTTTAGTAACTAAGCGAAGAGAATCTACATGAAGCCAAGAAGGGAGAACAGTATTGTTTTGACTACATAAGTACATATTTCATTATGCGGATCACAAGAGTCTTGTTTGAAGATGTCGCCAAGCTCATTCAGCGATACAGTCGCTACCAACAGTCCTCCTTGTCGATTGAGCAATTTACAACTTTCGGTACGTAGATTTACGAGTTTTATTTCAATGTACTATGCTGAACAGCAATAACTTGTCAATGATTGAGTAAGCTTGGTGGAGTTAAAAATCGTTCGTGAATACTACGGCTCCTGCAGGTTGCTTTCAGGTATATAGACGGTGATCTCGAAGAATAGAGCATTTGTTGGGTAAAATTATGTAAATAGCCTAATACTTCGCCTAACAAGGAGTCAGTGATGCTTTTTTTCGCTGTTATGGATGATGAAACTTATCTGTAACGCGGCCAATTTCTGCCACCCAGGTTCTTTTCTGTAGAAGTAATAATAGCCCTTTCCATTCATAAACGCGAGAATTTTTCAAGTCAGTTCGTTAATTTTACGCGCTTAGTCGAGTGATGACTTATTCCGTGACTTTGCGCTGAAGGAGCGAACAATGTTTGTGCTGTTTACTGCCTACTTCAAAACTTCAGAAATTTTCCCTTGTAGTGTTGAAACTATGTAAGCTCAAATGAACGGCGAGGATCATTCTTATCACATTTTTCCAGCATTATTATTGGTATACTATCTGCTTATTGAATGAGCAGGAGGGCCAGATGGGAATATATTAAATCAAGTTCACAATATATAGATTTAATACAGCATGGTCAGTGTGTCCTGGCCGGTATTTTTCTGTCTGGCCTGGCCTAACTCAGTCATGCAGTAGTGAGTAACTATTTTAGTATAACAACACTTTTGCTTAGTTTCATTTGGTTATGTGATGTGAAAGTATTGTTGGTGAAAGGTTTGAATTACCTGCAGATAACAAATTACGTGTACTGCTGTGTGGGGGTTTGACGGATTTTTGTAGTAACACCAACATAGCAAGTACATGCACATTAAAGGTTGCTTATCTGATTTATTATCAGGTATGTTCAGAGTTTTAGCGAGTTGGTTGAGTTTCAAAATGAAGAAGAAACAGATGAAGTTACAAACAGGTAAAGTTTTGCTCTTAGAAAATTTGCAGTATTTTAGCTAGCTGATGAAACAGTTTACAAATTTGCATTAGTTTTTCAAACGGCTTACTGGTAGGTAGATTAAGTTGAAAAGTGTGCAAAAGTAATATGAAAATGTGGATTTAATTGCTGCTTGCTAGGCCATGAGTGTTCATCATTTTTGGTAATTGTTTTGTAGCCAAATGGTGAAAACAGAGATGGTTAATGAAATTGTGAATGACAGGGATCAATGCCTCACTTTAGTGTCAAACTTTTGTATTTCAATAGATTCACGCAAAGTTTGATGTACATCAAACAGCGCCATGACAACGTTGTAGAGACCATGGCCCAGGTAAAGATAATAATTATTATAGCCTAGTTTAGATGTCATTTCTTTAATGTATCAGTTTTATGACTGGAAAGGATTGTGCCACTTTCTTTAGTGTGTACAATGTACTTATTCTACTCATCGTAGAATGGTCCCATGGCAAATCTGAGCTTTTAAAGTTATTTCAGTCTATAACTTACAGTATTTGGAGATTTACATTCCTAAATGAGTGTTACCAGTGGTGTTGGACCTTTAGAGAAAAAGTGATTATAGCTTGTTTGGATAACATCACAGAACAACAAGCATAGATGTGTGACAGTGTGACGATGATGATGATGATCATCATCATCATCATCATCATCATCATCTTTATTTAAAACAAAATTGTCAATTTAAGGTTTTAGAAGAGGAGGTGCACTAAAAAAGGAGGCAAAGCCTAGCTAGATGATTACTGTCTTTTGTCTTTTTCCATACATGTGAATTTGGAACTGGGGTCTTCTGTAACATTTATTCTTCTATAATTCAGGGCATCATGGAACTTCGAGAGAAGGAGGGTGATGATGCCTTCCATCCATCAATAGAGTATTTTCTAGGTAATGTAATTAATATGATACTCTTTGTACCAGAATCATAGAATATCTTTCCATATCAGGGCTGTGCTCTAGAAGCACCCAGGTGCCACAGGTGCCTAACTTTTGACTTTGGGTGACTGAAAAAACTCACTTTTTTCATATAAGTTTAAGTGCTGGATATATATTTTTTCATGGTTAGGAACCTCTGGGCTTTTCACAATTTTTCCACAGCCTTGTATATAGAATAGATTTCTTACTCCAGACAAAAACATTAAGTTTTTTTAGAAGTGGAAAAATGTTAAGATTGAGTTCTATGACTAGAAAATTACATGTAATTTCAAGTTATTTGTTAAAATGGTTTTTACACCTGGATATGGTAACTGTCGTCGCATGGCTGCATTACCATTTCTTTGTTTGTTTGGTCACACAGCTGCGCGACTGGTTACCATGTGACCTGGCAACAGTTGAAAATGTCTCATACATACAACGTAATAAAAGTTGCAAGCGATGTTTCCATTTCAGCTCATTGTTTATCAAACTCAGGCTAAATTAAGGTCAGAAATCACTCTAAGTATTTTGTCAATTATGTATTCCACTAGTTTTCTCAAAGATTATTCTCGATGCTGATTTATTATCTGATGTTTCGTTGCGTG